GTCTCAACGAGGAGCTTAAGGTACAAACCAGCTAAGCGACTGATCATAGCTTGGCATAATGGGCATTTTATGGGTTTTATCGGTTTGATCCATGAAATTCTAGACCGAGAGAAGCTAATGGGTTTGATGCAAAACGTGGAGGCCTTATGCTCAATAAAATATCAGTGTTTGGCTTTGTCCAAGAAAGGTCCACCAAGAAAATATAAACCATGATCATATAATATATCAATCTGACGGTAATTCCGAGATCTTCAACCATGCGAAAGGGCGCAACCAGCCGAAGAATTTTGCGACCACAAACTTCAAAATTCAGTCAAGTCCTAGTCTTTGATCAAGTCCACCATATTTATAATACTAGGTGATTTTCCCGTGCTTATGCACGGACATAAATATTTATAAAATAAATATATTATATTAATTTATTGATACTTACTTTAAATTTTAAATTAATTTATAATTTGTAGGTATAATTTGTATTAATAATATTCTATTAATTTAATTATATGTATAATTTTAGATATGTTATATTTTGTCAGTTTTATTGTTTTTACGGTTGATTTAGTTATCATTTGGATATATTAGATTCTATCTATTTCTTTGAACTCAACTATAATCTTTTTTATCCTAAATATATTAAATTTTTGATGAATTGTCTTATTTGCATTTATGCCGGTTGTTATCTTAGAAATATAAGTATATCTAGTAAGATTATGTATAACTTAAGATTTTTTGTGCTTAGAAAGAAAAGAAAATAAAAACTAAACTGTCTGATTCTAAATTACATACATAAGTAACTAATACATTTTTGGAAGCTTATGAACACATATCAATATTTACAATATTTAGATTGATTTGATGAAAAATTGAAATTTATTTTAAATAATTTTAAAAATAAGGATTCTGATTTGCTTAAGTATTTTGATTATGGTTATATTAAGTTCCACAAACATTAAAACAGAAAATTAAAAATCAAAAGAGTTATTAAGAAAACATATAATTTTAACAGTTAAAATATATTATATCTACTTCGTTAAATTATATAGTGTTATGATATATTAAAATAATTGTAGTTATTTAATCAAAATTGTTTATTATTAAAATTTATTTTTAGTTTTGTTTTTAATATCTGTTAAAATATGCAGTAAAAATGTTATTATTTTTGAGAAATTATATTATAAGTAAAATAGAATTTATATGTTTTGTTTTATTGTGAGATATTATAGTCAAATAAATATACTAAAATATATATATATATATATATATATATATATTTCAAGAATACAAGTTATAAAAAAATTCAATTAAACATATATCAGTTTATGTTACTTAATTATTTTATGTAATCATCTAATAAAATAGATAGATATATACCAAAAAATAATTACTTTGAATATATATATATATATATATATATATTGTTTAAAATTATTTTTTTTAAAGAAAAAAAATATTTCTTTTCCTAGTATCAAGATTACTTGTGTGAAATTTTTTATGGAATCACATTATATACAAATATTATTTTTATCTAAGAAGATATAGATATGAAGTATTTTATTACTTCAAAAGTATATTTTATGTTATTTAAAATATATTTAAATTAAGTATTATTATTTTGTGAACTTTCCTTTTTTATGAAACCATATTTCTATATACTTATATTTTCGTTTTAAATAGTTTTGTAAACTTTATAAATGTTTTATTTTTATTTTTTATTGTTTTGGAAAATTTTGAAAAGGAAATAATAATATAAATGTACTTTTTTAATTCATCAAGGGTATCATAGTAATCAACCATCGTGAAAGTTAATGTGAGCGCGACACATAAGAAAGTGACTTCTCAAATAATATTATAGAGATTCCTATTTTCTAGAATAAATTTAGACCTCTAACCACAACCTATTATATAAAGGCTTGCTTTCTATTATTCTAGATCATTCAAATTTTTAATAAAAACCTTTCCTTTTAACTTGGTGAATCATTTGTTCTTCGTCGAACATCTTATCTTTTGAGTCATCGAGTGTGTCATATATTCGGGCTTAGAAGTTGGTAGTATCAAGAGACTTTCTGCACCTCTTGTGTCACCATTCGATCTACATCCCTTGATTGTTTGTGCTTTCTCGCTCATTTGGTGCAAGGATTATCCAATCCACCAACCTTAGAGTGATCCTTCAGTCTAGGGTACCATGTGGTATCAAAGCCACTCTGAGGTTCGGAATTCTTCACAACCAGCCATTTGTAATTCTTCATCTTCTAAGAGATCTTATGTGTCTTTTGAACTACTAAAGAGAAACCATGAAGAGAAGCCGAGCATTCTTCACTCTTCATCTTCTAAGATATCACATGTGTTTGGCCTACTGATCAACCATGAAGAGGAGGCAGCGCGCAAAACACAAGAAGAAAAGTCGCGAGAATGGAGGTACAACAAACGCACAGCCGAGATGATAGCAGAATATGAGCGTGACCAAGAGATGGAAGCCAAAAAGTCACGACCTGAGAGAGACAAAAGGAAGAAACCTGTCAACAAAGAGGCCACACGATCTTACCTTGGTTCTAGATCAAATGGAGTTAAACCGAACAGTCCAAAGAAGGCAGTCAAAAACCACTATTGAAACCGGTTGTAGAAACTCCATCGGCCAAAGTTGAAGAAAAGAGGAATAAGGGTTTTGAGAGATGGCTGAAGAGTTTCAAGGCTAGGATCCATCAAAGTATCACAAACCCATGTTCATCTTTAGTTTTAGAAGAAGATCAGGAAGCCAAAGATATCGAACCAGAGCTATCGATTGTTTATGTCTGTGCAAAATCTAAGGACAATCTCGGTCCAATATTTGTGAGGAGGAAGAACCAGAGGCTGTAAGTGTTCTCCTAGATGTCCAAAAAGTGGCTGCAGATGTGACTGTTAGTGGATCAGAAGCTGATCATGAAAAAGATCTCTTAAGCGCTTATGCTTCAGGTGATATTCTTGGTTCTTTATCAAGTGATACACTTGTTCAGCTATTCGTTTGCAAGGAGTATGACTCCATGGAGCTACTGAGACCTGAAGAAGGTCTACAAAACTTTATCTTTGAGGCTGGAATAGGGGTGTGTGTACACAAGAACAATGGAAACACCTTGGTTGAGCAGAACCATGTCGGTTCATTCATCCTAGAACGTGTGGATTTGAGGACAAATCATTTTAAAGGAGAAGGGGATGATGCAACCCAGATCAGCAGCAATGTCTCAACGAGGAGCTTAAGGTATGAACCAGTTAAGCAACTGATCATAGTTTGGCTTAAGTTCTAGACCGAGAGAAGCTAATGGGCTTGTGCTCAATAAGATATCAGTGTTTGAATATGTCCAAGAAAGACCCACCAAGAAAATATAAGCCACAGTCGTATAATATATCAATCTGACGGCAATTCTGAGATCTTCAACCATGCGAAAAGACGCAACCAGCCGAAGAATTTTGCGACCACAACCTTCAAAATTTAGTCAAGTCTTAGTCTTTGGTCAAGTCCACCATATTTATGATATTTCTATTTCCTAGAATAAATTTAGACCTTTGGTCTAACCCATAACCATTATATAAAGGCTTGTTTTGTATTATTTCAAATCATTCAACTTTTTAATAAAAATCTTTCCTTTTAACTTGTTGAATCATTTGTTCTTCATCAAACATCTTATTTTTTGAGTCGTCGGAGTGTGTCATATCTTCGGGTTTAGAATTTGATAGTATCAAGAAACTTTCCGCACTTCTTGTGTCACCATTCGATCCACATCCCTTAATCGTTTGTGTTTTCTCGCTCATTCTGTGTAAGAACTTTAGAGTGATCATTTAATTTAGGGCGTACCAACCGACTAATCCGCAAAAGCTTGTATATATAGCGGGTTGGATTTACGCAACCCTTCCAGAAACCGCAGTCCGCGTGGAACTGACCCGTTGTAACCCGTTGAAAGAAAATCCCACTAAAGTCCAGAATGGGACGGGACAATTTTTTTTGCCATATCTATTCTGAATGTTCCATTGACAAATTACTATTGAAATAATAGCAGTACATGATTATCACAGCTACACGAATAGTTGATCAATCAATTTCAATTTAAGTGATGCCAAAAGAATCAATTTAAATTTAGTGTCATGATTACTCATAAGTTCTTTCTCGTGATTAACATATTTGGGGTATTAATTACAAATCTCCAGGTTAAAAGCCTTGTAAGTTGTAACTAATTCGTAACGTATTCCATTCCACTCAGTTTCCAACGTATACTCTCTGTCAATCTGTCATTTATAGACCTGAAGATTTTGATGGGGAACCTACATAAAATATAACTAAACTATAAAATAATTTAATTTTGCAAAAAGAAAACTTATAATCTAATTCTTTAATAGGAATAAATTTTGTGGAATATCATTTGAAATAATCTAAATTAAAATTTATTATATTTAGATTTTATTTGATTATTAAATATTATAAATGAGATAATTACTATAAAAATGTTAAAATAACAAAGTCAATTGATGTGATAACCCCAAATTTCATATGTATCTTAACAGATCATCGTTGATATCTTATATAAAGTACGGTAGAGAAAAATTAGCAAATCAAGCGTGATACGTACGTACTCCATAATCAACTGAGTAAGTAAACCCAACATAATTTAAAAAATATACAAATAAACAGAACTGAAGGAAACGAAAAATCTCCTTTTTAACCTTTTTGTATGCTAATAAAACAGAAAAAAATCAAGGAAGGAACGGTAATTGACACTTGCCGTTCCCTTTATTTTATCCTCCAAAAACAATTAAAGAAAAAAGAAAAAGAAAACGAAAAAGAAAAATCAAGCAAAGATTAAGGTGATGTCAGTTACTTTGTTGGGGATAAATAGCAACTCTTGTTCTTGGGGGTGACTTCTGTTGGATTTGGTGTGGACTTTTCCTCATCATCTTCCTGCCTCTCTCTCTCCTTCTACATATTAAAGTTAGAGAGAAATTCCAGAAACGATGGGAGACTGATTGTTTAGAAAATGGAGACGCCGCAAAAAACTGTAACTCAGAATGAGACTCCTGTTTCTAAACTCAAAGTCAAGGTTTACTGTGTTCCTGTTTATGCATTGTTCATTCTGAGGAAAGTGTGTGTGTTTTCATGCAAATACCTATTCTCTAGGGCTTTTAAAGTTTTTTTTGTGTGTTTCTGACTGTATATGTGGGGTAATGATGCAGAACTCTCCAGTGTTCAACTACATAAACAGTCTGTCTCCAATAAAACCTGTCAAATCAATCCCAATCGTTCACACATTTGGCTCTCTCAGCCCTGTCTTCACTTCCCCTCACACACCTTCTCACAAAGGTTCTCGTTTCAAAAGGTCATAGGACTCAAAGTTCTCTCCTCTCCTCCTTACTTTAAAAACATAAATATCTTCTTAATTGTAATGTTTTTTTTGTTTTGCAGTCATAATACTAACTCCTCTGGTCCTTCCAAAGAGTTAGTAGAAGAAGTTTTACTTGAAACCATACCTCAACAAATACTCAAGGATGATGACTGTATTTCTACTCCTCCTCGTAGAGCTCCTACCAATGATTGTTCTTGTGGAGATGGTAAGACCGATCTGCAGAAGATGTGTGATGACAATGTTAAGCGGAAAAGTGATACTCCAGATTGGGAAACTCTGTTTCCGGATACTCCTGAAATGTTGACTTATGACTCACTTAATGATTCAGAGGCTGATAGATGCTTCTTGCCAGCATCATCAGACTCCAAAATACATTCATGTGGTGGTGCAAAGCCTACGTTGGAGCCCATTTCGAACAGCAAAGAGTCGCCAGCTGTGAGTAAAAGTTTTTGAGAATATTACTTTGGTTCATGACTGATTATTGTCTCTGAAATTATTCTCTTTCTTGTGTGTGTCTAACAAGGCTCTTCACCGTGGAGTTACAAGACGCCTTCTAGACTTTGAGATGCCTTACAAGCAAACGTCAGAAAAATCTTCATCGCGATTTGTAGTGCCTAACACTGGTCTGCATCTTGACAACATTGTAATGTCATCCGGAATTAAAGCAGTGGAAAATGAAACCGAGGAAGCTGCAGGACAAAGTGTAGCGGAAGAGGTTCCAAAGTCTTCTTTAGCTTTAGTGGTAATGAATCAAAATTGTCCAAAAAAGAAAAGGTAAGTTTAATATCTCTTAAGTTTTACATAAGACTTGAACAAAAAAACAGATTTAATGGTAAAATCTGAACAATCTTTTGGCATTAAAACGTGCAGACTTAAGTCTGAACAAGCAGGGGAAGGAGAGTCATCATGTAAACGGTGCCACTGCAAAAAGTCTAAATGTTTGAAACTGTAAGCTGAATATATCCCAAATCCTCTTTAATCTTATTAGCTTGCTTGAAGTAGCTTTAATATCTCTCTGTTGAATGTTTCTCTCTGTAGTTACTGTGAATGCTTTGCTGCTGGAGTTTATTGCATGGATTCATGTTCATGTGTAGATTGCTTCAACAAACCAATCCATGAAGACACTGTCTTAGCGACTCGCAAAAAGATTGAATCCCGAAACCCACTTGCTTTTGCTCCTAAAGTCATTAGAAATACTGATTCTTCTTCCATCATGGAAGTTGGTGGTGAGGCAAGCAAAACTCCAGCTTCAGCGCGACATAAAAGAGGTTGCAACTGCAGGAAATCAAACTGTCTGAAGAAATATTGTGACTGCTATCAGGTATCATATCACTAAACTCCATGACACATCTTTGTGAGTTTCATACTTTCTTGAATTGATTCTGTTACATTTGTCAATGATGATCATATAGAGCGGAGTTGGTTGTTCCATAAACTGTAGATGTGAAGGATGTAAGAATGCATTTGGCAGAAAAGATGGTAAGCCTTTTTGTTTGATCTTTCATAACTCTTTACATATCTCATGTCTCTTGGTCTTTTGATTTGACATGATTAAAAAAATTTGTAATCTCTGAAGGGTCTTCATTTGTAGGCATGGATATCAAACAAGATGATCAAAGCAAAACAGCGAGAACACAACAGAAGGCCGAGTTGTTTAGTTCTGTTCCATTTCCAACTTCAACACCAATGTCATTAAGGTAAGGAAAAAAAAAACTAAAAAACAATCAGTGTGTGATGATTTAGACAGCTACTTATTTTTTCTCTGTTAACCTTTGTTTTCTTTTATTCAGACAACCATTGGCTCAACTTCCCATCTCATCAAACAACAGGCTGCTTTCTCAACAGTCTCGGGATCTTCATGGAGCTTCTGGATCTACCTTATACGAGAGCCAATCTTTCAGAAAACAAGGCATGAGTTTGTTGTCTCATTCAAGGACTGAGACAACCACAGAGGAAAGAGCAGAGGATATTGAGAATGTAATCCCATCTCAAGTAACTAATATCAATGCAATGTCTCCCAACAGCAAAAGGTTTTTATCTGCCTCATCTTGATTGATTAGTGTCGACTACATGGAGAAGAAAAGGTGGAAGGAAGCTGTTACTGACCATTCCAACTTGCCCTTCTCTCACTCCACAGCACAACATATTCTTTGATTCTTTGAAACTATGATATCATGTCAACTTCTAGTTGGTAGTTTAAACTTACACAGCAACATACACAAAACGTTTCTAGCAGTTTGGTATTAGCATAGGTCGTTTGTTTTTGGAAAGATTCTGAATTAAAAGTGATAAGTTTTTCTCATATCATTCCTTCACAATAAATTGCTAAGTAGTTGTCAATCTTTTTGGTCAATCTACTCTCTGTAATGCTTAAAACAAAATACGCCAGGTGTAAGGTTGCGTTTAAAAATTGTTACGTTTGCAGGATTAACTACTAATAATAAATTGACAATATATTTTAAATAACTATCAAAATATTATAATCATATTTTATAATAAACTAGGACCCGGGCGGGATATAATCTAAAAATAATTTAAATAGTTAGAGTAAATATTTTTGATTTTTATTTAATATTTGTTGTTATTTAAAAATGTTTTTTTTTCTATAGTAGTATGAAACATTATTTATTGATTGTTATTCTTTATTCAGTTTCATTCCCATTACAATTAACTAAATTTCTCCGATTAATAAAATTGTTTATTTGAAGTTTTATTCTATTTTTATTTTGATGGTGTAAAATTGTTGATTTATTTGTTTGATTTGAAGTTATCTAGTTTTATTTATTCTTTTACATTATTTTATATTGTGCGTCTCTTATTCGACTATTTAACTATATATTTAATTTTACACAGTTGTGGACCTATGTTTATAGTTTTTTTTNTAATAAAATTGTTTATTTGAAGTTTTATTCTATTTTTATTTTGATGGTGTAAAATTGTTGATTTATTTGTTTGATTTGAAGTTATCTAGTTTTATTTATTCTTTTACATTATTTTATATTGTGCGTCTCTTATTCGACTATTTAACTATATATTTAATTTTACACAGTTGTGGACCTATGTTTATAGTTTTTTTTTAAATACTTGACATAAATATTTAAAATACATTCTATATTTGTTTAGTTAGAATAAGTTAACATATCTCTTTTTATATAAGAAATTATTCATTTTTGTTATATTTTTCTGTATTTTATTATATTTCTCTTAACAATTATTTTTAGTATCTATTAAATTAAAATTTTATTGTGGTCTTATTTTCGTAATATTTTTTAATATATTATGTATTACTATCTCTTAAAATAATTATTAATTAACTCCAAATCTAAAACCAATGTCTTAAAACTAATAGTTTTTTTTAAATATAATATGTCAAATGGATTATCAACCAATAGCATTAAAATCTTCTTGATTATCAACCAAGAACAGTTCTTGAAATCAAGGAACAAAAAGAGAACATGCTTCATTAGGTGACGAAGTATGCTCCTAAAGTAATCTATATAAGAAAGCAAAGGCCTTCCACTCCACGTCCTCCTTAAAACCTCTGCGAAAATGACTGTCCCTATCTCCACCACAGGCTTGCCTTGCCTTGCAAACTCTGCAACTTCAACACCATCTTCATTATCCTTAACAATCCCCATTTTACCATGAACCAAGAAATCCCGACATCTTCTTCATGTTTGAAGAATTTAAGAAACGGCTCCTGCCGGACCAGGCCACCGCCTTCTTACCCACATTGAAACCCGACATTCTAAAACAAATTAGCATTATTGTCAAAATCAAGAACCAAATATACTAATAAAAGTAAAAAAGAAAAACAAAAGCTTTCACTGTCAAAGAAACTATTTATGCAAACCATGAACCCAACCAGAAATCTGAATGAGACATTTATCATCCTCTTCTTTGGATGCTTCTGCAATTCTTCTTTCTATGAAGAGCAAAGGAAATTGCACATAGCATAGAGTCAAAAACGCTATAAGAAAAAATATACAACATTGTTTCTCGAAGAAGAGGCTTAGTAGAGACTGGGTTCTACAAAAAGAGTCAGATTTATCATCCTTACAAACAAAGGGACTGCAAAAACCACAGAACCCGAATGAGTTTGGATAGGGACCAAAACAAGAGAGATCTGCAAATTAGCGAGCACAGTTGCATTACATTGGTGAACAAAAGTTTCAGCTACAACGCGTGCCCCACACAAGATTGATATGACAGTGTAGGAAAAGTAAAGTACAAACTAAACACATGTTTGATACATAGCATAACAGATTTCTTCAGTACCGAAGAAGGGCATAACATTATAGAAGAAGAAGACTATTTTCATTACAGATAAAGGCAACTTAACACTATTACAGGAAGAGAATAAAATTTACCTTGTGGAGATGGAAAGACAATGCATCTCCACTTCTTTCCTGCTGTTCTTCGACACCTTCCTGGTTCATTATCCGATTCCACTCTGTAAACAAAACCCACCACGATCTACAATAAAATAAGCACATCCATAATCCATCATTGAGCAAGCCATTTCTGAGAAAGCTTGAAAGTCAAGGTATTACCTTGAAGACAGTGTCTGGAGAACATCTTCTCTGTAAATAGATGATGGTTTTATTATTTTTTATTCCTTTTCATGTTTTATCAAAAAAACCTTGCCTTTACTTGGTATCAATTTGTAAAATAGATAAAATCTTAGGATGCCTTTATATGATTTTAAAGAGAGTGTATATATGTGTGTACCTTCTTTTGAACAGTGGAACCTAAAGGTTTGAGTTCTTTTGTTAACGCTATCAATCTTCTTACGAACCATAGACACTTCTTTCTTCATAGGGTCTGCCATAGACTCGAGCTCCT